GGGCCTTCAAGTTTAGTTCTGCTTCTTTTTTTTGAGCTTTATGTGTCTTTGTAGTTTACTTTTTGGGTATGAAGAGCTGGTTCGTCTAAGCTTCTGGTTCTCTCTTTTGATTTTATATTGTTGTGGCGGGATTGATTTTTGTCTTCAGGTGTTCCGCGGTGGCCCAACTCCAATGTGGATCAGAAGTTTTCAGACTTTCTCCTTAGGTCTGGAATCTTCTAAGAATGCTTTTGTTCTCAGGAACTTGGGTGTTGGATTGACCTGAGACCCTGGCCGTGGCCGCACCACGCAGGGATGCAAAGGCAGATGGGGAGGGAAGAAGCCCCAAGATTTCCCAGGGAGTGGATTGAGTAGCTGGGTTGTACTGGATGCAAAGGATCAGGGAGAGGAAAGGTAAGGCTCGGAGCCCCAGAAAGAGGCTGACGGGTGTTCCAGGACCAGGGAAGTAGAGGGAGATGAGGGCGGGGCCAGGACCAGAAGCTGTGCTTCTGGGGCCCAAGAAAGGCACTGAGTTGGTCTGGGTGAGAAGGGTCAGGAAGCAGTATTGGTTCCCCAGGTGTCTGGGGTCCCAAGCCTAGGAATGGCGCAGGGCCCAAACTAGGAGTATAGAACGGCCCGGGGGATGGAAGGGTGAATGTGGCTTAGGGAGTCCCGGCGCGGTGGGCTGCGCTATAGACTTACCCCAAGAGGCCTGAGGATAGGAGAGTTAGCCGGTGGTGCAGGCCCAGGGAAGCAGAGAGAGGTGAGGGCGGGGCCAGGACCAGAAGCGGTGCTCCTGGAGCCCAAGAAAGGGACTGAGTTGGTCTGGGTGAGAAGGATCAGGAAGCAGTATTGGTTCCCCAGGTGTCTGGGGTCCCAAGCCTAGGAATGGCGCAGGGCCCAAACTAGGAGTATAGAACGGCCCGGGGGATGGAAGGGGGAATGTGGCTTAGGGAGTCCCAGCGCGGAGAGCTGCGCTATAGACTTACCCCAAGAGGTCTGAGGATGGTAGTTCCAACCATTCAGTTTTTAATTGTCATGTATTTCAGTGCATTCAAATATTTTTATAAAATTTTTTGTGAGTTTGGCATGTGTTCATTATGCAATCAGAAAGTAGAGCTGTACCTGTTAGAAATTAATTAGGATCTTGTTTGTCAGCTGATTTTAAAGATAGATTTTAATACTTAAATATTGAAACTAATAGACCATTAATATTCTTTTTAAATTAAGGAACCATGGTGCATACGTTGGCATGGTGTGATACATGCAATATCCTTTGTGGACTTCAAGACACTCGATTTACAGTATGGTATTACCCTAATACCGCTTATGTGGACAAAGACATTTTGCCTAAAACATTGTATGAAAGGGATGCAAGGTAATGTTGTATTGCATAGGAGTCTGTGTTGTGATAAATGAAACTCTAATACTTTATCCTGGAAATATTTTTCAAGTTTTATCAGATTCAACTAAATAATTTGTTCAGCTAAAGTTGGCTTAGTGAGCTTTAAGTGATGGATTCAAATTGAAAATTTGAATTATTTATTTGTCTTTTATGAGTATAATTTTCAAGCTTAATGTTTAATGATAGCTTGGGTAATTTTTCCAGTGTGATTTAGTGATTTTTAACATAAGCAATCTTAAGACTTTTTAAGCGATGTAAAACTTTCTGACAACTACCCAACAGATTTTCATTGACTTTTAAGATTTTCAAAGATGTATGTATCTCTTCAGCTGAATTTTTGGTTTGATGTTAAAAGTAGAATAGACCAAAGTTACTGAAGAGCTTTTAAAAACTATTATATGCATCAGAAAAATCAAACATTTATATTCCTAAATTTCCTAAGAGATAGGTTTCTTATTCTTCACAAGTCAGGAATTTGAAGACCTATGAACTCTAAACTTTACTTGATTTTCAAATCTGTTTTAAGTTCATTTTTAGCATGTAAGTTTACAACCATAGCCAAACTAGAGAAATGCAAAAATAAAACAACTTATTTTTTAAGTATTTAAATTAATGAAAAGATGTCACTCCTCTTTTTTAAAGTTCATTCACAATTAATTCTAGATTCCCCTTTAATTCTTGGATCAGTTTTCCCTTTAATATCTTTTAAAACAGTGGCTCCATGGCTTAGTTGGTTAAAGCACCTCTCATAATACTTTTTTAAAACAATGGTTTATTTAATTATTTTCATGATTTATCCTGAGATTCAAAAGAATGTTAGTTAACTTTCTGTCACTATAACAGTACTTGAGTCAGTCAGCTTATAGAAAGGAAAGGTTTACTCTGGCTCATGGCTTCAGAGGTTCTAGTGGATCGCTTGGCCCCACTGCTCTCAGGCCTGTGGTAATAGAGTGCATCATGGCCGGAGTGAGGGGTGGGGCAAAACTGCTCACTTCAAGGCTGGGAAGTGAAGGAGCAGAAGGGGAAGGAGCAGAGTCCTAGTATTCCCTTCAAGGCACATCCCTTGGTCTCTAAGCCAATCTCCCTGGGTTCCACTTCTACAAGACTCCACCTAGGGAGCAAGCATTTACCTGAAGGACTTTTAGGGGACACTTATAATCCAAACTTTAGAAAAGCTCATTTCCTCACAACTGGCTAAATTGTTAGTATATTTTGCTTCAAGCGCATATATACATGTTGTATTGAAATATACATTCTGTCTGAAGTTAAGGTTTTGGGAGATGCATTTTGAAGATTGGAGCGTACACACACACATACACACACACACACACACACACACACACATGTCAGGGTTACTCCCCCAATCTAATGCATATGAAAGAATTTGTGCATAACTTTACATTTTCCTTTGTTTGCTTTCAACAGTGAATATAGTAAAAACCCACACATTGTGAGTTTTGTTGGAAATCAGGTGACTGTAAGGAGAGCTGACGGCTCCCTGGTACACATCAGCATCTCACCATACCCTGCCATCCTCCACGAGTATGTAAGCAGCTCTAAATGGGAAGATGCTGTACGACTTTGTCGTTTTGTTAAGGTATTTTACGTATTTTTGTATATATTATATATTAGTTCACCTTTTTTTCAGGATGAGTAATAACAATTGAGGATTAGAAAATCATGAATAGGATCATGCCTCTTTAAATAAATGAACACATTGTTAAATACAGAGGAATGGATATGTCTGTGTGATTTGTTTTTTGAAGAAGCTGTAATTAGACTAATAGCTCCTTCATTCCTTCATACTGGCACTTTCTTACAGGTCAGGTTCCTAAGTTCTGCCCCCATAGAAATTCTGATTCATTAGATCTGAGCTAAAGTTTTGTTATGTTTTTTAAGTTCTTCAGATACTCTTTTGTATGACCCAGGTTAAGAATCTCTGTTTCAGATCAGCATTTCTTGACTTGGTTCTATCCATTATATCCCAAACATGCTTGAACACAGTCTTTTTACTATCAGTTAACATCCCTTAGAATGCATATTTGTGAAATGGCATTTAGTTGCTCTTCCTTACAGTGAGGTGTTGGTTTCAGTCTGCCATAATGGTATCATGTGAGAACCTCATGGTTCCTCGTATTCTAAGTTGTTTTCCTTGTCATCTCCTCAAAAAGTTTGGAGGGTTAATCATCTTGAGTTATTACAAGTTAGAAAATAAATCCTTGGTAACTAGAAATGAAAAATTTCAGAAATTTTTGTTAAAGGATGTTCTCTGTTGTCTGTATGCACAGAGAATTGGGCTTATTCTTGTTGTTTGGTTTTTTTTTTTTTTGGGGGGACAAGGTCTCCCTGTAGCCTCAACTGGCCTGGAACTATGAAGACCAGGCTGGCCTTAATCTCACAGAGATCCTCCTGCCTCTGTTTCCCAGGTGCTGGGATTAAAGGCATGAGCTACCATGCCTAGCCTTGTTGTTAATATATTTTAACAGAGTGGCCATGGTGAAATTTCTACATCATTTTTATTATTAATGCCATGTTCTATAATTTTTAATTATTTTAATAATTTAATTATATTATCATGAATTTAAACCACTGCATATTTTAAGGTAGTTCATCCCTGTAATTAAGATATCTGTTCTCATGTTTCACTGTAGGAGCAAAGCATGTGGGCCTGCCTAGCTGCTATGGCAGTCGCTAATCGAGATATGATTACTGCAGAAATAGCATATGCAGCAATTGGTGAAGTAAGTAAATAATGCTTACGTATTAGTACAAATGCATTTCTCTCACTATAATTTGTTTTATTTCTACTATTAATCCACTTCTGATCTATTTCTCTTCATTTTTTTAGATTGATAAAGTTCGATACATCAGTTCTATAAAAGAACTTCCATCTAAAGAATCAAAAATGGCCCACATACTAATGTTTAGTGGGAACATACAGGAGGCTGAAATAGTACTTCTTCAGGCTGGCCTTGTTTACCAAGCAATCCAGATCAATATTAATCTCTATAACTGGGAAAGGTAATAAGAATATTTTTCAACAATTCTAAAACCTGTTTAACCTTAATGTTTTCTTCCTCTGCAACTTCTTAGTCTATTATATTTTCTACTACATTTAATTTCCTAATACTACAAAATAATTTGTTCATTTTATATTTATATTTTGCCTGGTGGCGCTTAACATTTTCAAACCTGAAAGAAGATTGTCATTTGAGGGAGATTTTTGCTTCTTCTGAACTTGTAATTGATTAAAAGTTGGAGGATGAAGAAGAAAAGAATCTTAAGATGTCTCTAAAATTTATGATTTTTGTACTGGGGAAGATACTGAATATAGTGTTGGCCAACTTGAATTTCAAACACATGAAGAAGTAGGTAGTAATAATCAATTAAGGACGTGGAGCTCATGAGAAAGATTGGAATTGGTCAGGTAGCCTGAGAACTCATCAACAAATGGACAGTTGAAGCAAGAACAGATAAGGTGACTGGAGAATGTATGAAATGAACAGCTATCAGCCCCACTTGTGGGATGGATGAAAGAAGAGAAGTCTACCAAAGATGATCCCATGAACCTATAGACAGAGAAGACAGGAACCAAGGGTTTGTGAGAATAGTGTGCTAAAGAAGAAGCAAGAAAGGATGTACAGTAGGGAGTGCTCAGAAACAACTTTAAGCTCTGCACTAGGCTTTGGGCAGATTGTTCTCAGAGACAGTGTGGTATGCTGCTCTTCTCTGTGGCATACTAAGTTCCTTTTTGTCATTCTCTTAAATATGGGTCTCACTGTGGACAAAACTTGTTGTTTATGTAACCCAGAAATAGCTGTATTATGAAAATAGTATTCTTTTTATGTTCAGGATGTCTTTTATGACCTTTGTTTTTCTCTGAGCTCAAAAATAACCCACATATCTTTCAACTAATCAGGCTTTATAACTCTCTTAGAATTTCTATAGCTATTTTGTCTGTACCTTTCCCTTGAATCAAAGTAACACAAAGTATATAGATTAATTTTGTGATTGATATTCCATAGCCTATACCCTAATGGTATGTACCATTTATATAATTCAGCTGTTTTGTGCTTTTTTCACATGAGTTTGTTACTATGTTTAGTGTATCATGAAAGATGTGGTTCTATTGGCCATTGTCCTTATCCTCAATTTATTCATAATTCACAAAATTTAAATAGTTTAGAAGAGATAAAATATGAGTAATACTTTTTTTTTTTTTTGGTCTTTTTGAAGCAGGGTCCCCCTGTAGCCCCAGCTGTCCTGGAACTCAGTATGTAGACCAGGCTGGCCTTGAACTCACAGAGATCCGCTTGTCTCTGCCTCCCAAGTACTATATTAAATAGATAAATTACATACATACATTACATACCATTACAAGTTAACAATTCTATGAGAAATATGGAAAAATAGTATTTACAGTATTCTTTCAACCAGTTTTATTTGGGGGACAGTTGAGATGGTCTTGCTATGTAGCTGGCCTCAAACTCAACAGCCTTCCTCCTGCCTCAGCCTCCGAAGTGCTGAGATTACACACCCAGCTTCTTTTGATGTTTTTGAAAAAATATTTGCATTGCTTAATGGTAAGTACCATTGTTCATTTAACACTCTGAACACAGTGCAATATAGCAATTTTAATGGCCTTTATCTTTAAAAACACATCATAATCAGGATTTTCATTTTATAGTATTGATAATAGTAAGTAGAGAGAGATCTGGAGTGTGACTGCATCTTCTAATACTAAGGAGGAACTCAAGTTTATCACCAAGCAGTTAGGTATCATGCTGCTGGTAGCATTGCTTGTATTCTTTGTTGAACCACTGCATCCTTTAATTATTTATCTTTGCGGATATTTATGTCATCATTCCCATTTCATATCATACACTTCGTGAAGGGCAGAAGCATTTTCTATTGTCTGTATATGGTAGAGACATAATATTCATGTGCTTCATATTCATGTAGTACTCTTAGTAATTCTTTGGTGTTTTTCTGCTTCAAACATTTATTGGATGTAGACCTCTTATAGTGGGTGAGTAGGTGTCATAGCAAGATGAGAAAATTTGCCTATGGTGGTTCTTAGTATAACCCTCAGAACATTTTTTGTGCTAGCTTTGACCTAAATGAAACTATTTAGCTCTTAAATAGTTAGTCTCTTCACCTATACATTTCTTTGGCGCTTGTATATGAGTGGAATTGGTCCTTTTTTATCTTCTCATCTTTACTTTCCTGTCTTGTGACGTCTCCAGGCCCTTGAAGCTTGTCATACATTATGCTAATTCTTTGCCATTTTCCTCAATTTCTCTATCTCTGTATTCTGTTCACTGCCCACCCCCACCCCCCACCAGTTCTCAGCAAGTTCCTCTGCTTTAAGATGATTAGATCTTAGAGAGAAGGAAGAGACTGTAAGGAGGAATAAATGTAATGGGAAAAGGAATGAATCTTAGGTATTTGTCCCCTTTGTCTATGTGGTATCTCCTTTCGTGTGCTTCTGGGTTTTTATCTAAGTATAAACAAGTGGGTTAGTCATGGCTTTAGGCCTCTAAAGCTATGAAAGATAATAACTGTCCTGGAGCATTGCTCCAGGATTCTGACCACCATCTGTACCCTTCAGACGTAAATGTGCATCCCTCATCTGGTCCTGAATCCTGCCCATAGTTGCTTCCAAAACTACTTATCCAGCTGTCACTTGACGTTTCCATTGGATAGCTCACATTTTGCATTTAGATTTATATTTCTTCCTTTATCTTCCCTCTGGTCTCCTTCCAGAGTAACCTATCTCTTTTTGTTTTTCTCGTGGGACGGAGGACTGAATTCAGGGCCTCATACATGCCAGGCCAGTTCTCCTACCACTAAGCTAACCCCAACTCACAGGTTGATTTATCTTCTCGTTCTTTCAGCTGCACTAAACTGAAAATCTAAGAGTGGCTTTTGGCATTTTCTTTATCCTTTTAACCTAGCATTTCTTGTCTAATGCCTCTGATACTCAGCTATGTATCCACTTTATAGGAACATCCTTGTCTATATTGATGCAAGTTTTCCTGTATAATGTCACCACTAATCTCCCTGTCCCTTTCCTATCCATTCTCAACACTGAAGTGATAGTGATCTTTTCACAACGGAAATCTAATAATACAGCACTTGACCTCCATCTCATTTAAATGAAATCTGTACTTTCTCAGTGCTTGGAGTACAGTTGTCAGATTGGGCAAGGAAAACTTAAAACTTAAAAACTTAAATCAGTAGAGGTAATTATACCTGCTAAGATGCTCTTTAAAAACTTACGTTTGTCATCATTCTAAAGATATTTCTGAAAACATGTAGAATATTTGTTCCTATTGCAAATTCATTCACTCAACAGATGCTGAGTGTCTACTGTAATGGGTATATGTAGATACCACAGGGAGATCTACTTCAAAAAATCCTGTCTTTGGTAAAATGTGTGGTCATTTAAAATGTATTTTGTTACAAAAAGGAGTTGGTGATTAGAAATGGGAGCTTTGCTGTCAGATTTGATTTCATATTCTGAACCTCTAGCTGTGTAGGCTTGAGAAAATTACTGAGGCTCTGTAAGTTTCTCTTGTAGGCTTACTTTATCTATCTATCTATCTATCTATCTATCTGTCTGTCTGTCTGTCTGTCTGTCTATCTATCTGTCAATCATCTATCTATCATCTATCTAATCTATCATCTATCTGTCATCTATCTTATCTATCATCATCATCTATCTATCATCTATCATCATCTAATCTATCTGTCTATCTGTCTATCTATCTATCTATCTATCTATCTATCTATCTATCTATCATCTGTCTGTCACCTATCATCTATATCTATCATCTATCATCATCTAATCTATCATCTATCTATCATCTATCATCATCTAATCTATCTATCATCTATCAATCATCTATCTAATCTATCTATTTATCTAATATTTCTGTGAGTTTATGTGCATGAGGGTGCCCAGCGAGGCCAGAGGGCATCGGATCCTCTGAAACTGGAGCTATAGGCAGGGGGTGCTGGGTACCAAACGAGGTCTTTTGCAGGAGCAGGAAGTTCTCTTAACTGCTGAACCATCTATCCATCTTCCAGTTTCCTTATGTTTAAAATGGTGAAACAACCTCAGGATTTATTATAAAAGTTGGGTTAAAAAGATCTGAAGATCTTAGTAAACCTTGTGACACATAGTAAACTTTTAATAAGTAACAACTATTAGTAATTCTTTAAATACTTTTTGAGATTTTAGGTACTGTGGATATAGTAGTGAATAAACCCAAGAAAGTTCTGTGACAGTGATTTGGATTGTATAACTCTAGATGGCAGGGATAAGATAAAAATGTGTAAGTGGGAAATATGTATATTGTAGGTATATGTGTGTTTGTATATTCATATTAGGGGACATGGTCTACGTGCAAAGATATTCAAGTACAGGATAAATGATAAAATTATGTGGCAGATTGATTCATTCATAGATTGCAGATAGTGATTATCTTGGCTTCATTTCCATTACTGTGATGAAATACCCTGACCAAATATCAACTTATTTGGGGAGAAAGGGGCTTATTTGGCTTACAATTACAAGTTACAGTCTGTCATTTCAGGGAAGTCAAGGCAGGAACTCAAGCAGCTATCACATCTCAGTCATAGTCAAGCACAGAGAGAACACACCCCGTGGCTTGCTGCAGCTTTCTTCACTCTTACGCAGTTCATGCCCCACCTATGATTTCTTGGGATTTCATTGTGGTACTGCTGGCATTAATGGTGGGTCTTCCCACCCCAATTACCAGTGCAGACCATCCCCCACAGATATGCCCGCAGCCAACCTGAGCTAGACAGTTCCTCAACTAAGACTCTTCTGAGGTGATTCTAGGTTGTGTCAAGTTGATGCTAAAAACTAACCAGCAAGGGATCTATTTTAAAGAATCTTATTTTTACCTCACACATATTTCTCATTTTTCTTAGGACTGGGCAAGTGATCATTCTCACAAGTGTTTCCAGAACTGAAGTATATTATCAAATGA